ACAAAAGCGCTTTTGAAATTATTATCGGACAGCAACCGCTACTCCCACACACTGTAAATGCACCAAACATGGCTAAATCTCCTCGAGCGGCCAGCTTCTCAAAAGAGTGGAAGCGGAATTTGGAGATAGTGCGGAGCTATCTTGTCAAAGCTCAAAAGCGGATGAAGAGGCATGCTGATCAGAATCGTCGCTTTGTTGAATATCAAGTAGGAGACAAAGTGATGGTCAAAATCCCAAAGCGGTACTTATTTGTGGGGTCCATGACCCCCGCCTATTGCAAAAATACATTGGACCCTTGTCCATTGAAAGACGCATTGGGAAAGTTGCATACCGGGTGGATACCCCAGCTTGGTGGAAAATTCATCTTGTCTTCCATGTCAGTCTCCTGAAACCTTTTTGGGAAGACACGGAGGATCCTTCAAGGAGCCAGCTTACAATACCCAGTATTCGAGGTCCCAATTCAACCGGGAAAAGGCGTATTGAAGCTATCCTTGATGACAGAGTGATTCATGCCTCAAGGAAAGATCACCAAGAGTTCTTGGTGAAATGGCAGGGCTGTGATGCAGAAGAGAATACTTGGGAGAGGGGAACAAACCTCAAAGCCTACAAGAGCCTCATTGAAGATTATTTTACAAGTAAGGCGCCGAGGACGTCTCCAACTCAGGTGGAGGAGAATGTCATGGGCGGCTTTCCAGCCATGCCCCATGACCCCTTGGGCGCGCCCCGTGTCCTAGCAAACCTCCCAATGTCTAGCGCCACGGACGGCCCCGTGGTCTTGGCCGCGCCAAGTGACAAGCGCGCAGGTGCCTCTGTCGCCCCACCGATATCCCTTGCGAGCGCCAAGCCGCAGGCAGAAGCCAACAACGTCGCGCGCGCAGACCGTGATGCCAAAGACACTGCTGCTGACAACGGACCTGCTGCTGCCTTATAGAAAACTAAGTCATTTTCATTGTATATATAGAGTAGTTTTATTTCATGTACTTCCATTATGTTTCTCTAGCTTAGTCAAGTCTAGTCTTGTAACTTTGGATTATTTTTTTTAAGTACTATTAGGGGGATCAAGCAATCAAAACTTTCTAGCAAGCAAGCAATTCTCTGTAATGGTGTCTCTCCCCCTCGACACCGCGTTGCTTTTCTGTAATAGCTTTCATTAATGCAATCAAGCTTTCTTTCATTCTGAATTCTCATTTCTGTTCTCTCAATTGCTCTTGACATTGGTTTTCCCGTACGGCACTGACAATCTCGTCTAGCGTACGGAGGGGACCTCAGTTGGCGGACAGCAACTGCACTGACATTAGTTGCCTAGCCTTACGTCGCCCTTCCAAGGAATCTCAGGAAGGCGCCGCGTAACAGTTGGTATCAGAGCCTAGGCTCGACATCGGACGAGGGAACGTATTGACATACCACCATTTCTGACCATGGTGAATCATGGGGACCGCATTGCGGTCCTCGAAGGGACGGTTGAGGTATTGCGGCTTATTATGGATACGGTGCCTGAACTAAGAACCAGCCTATTGCAAAGGTTGGACGACCTGCTCTTGGCACCTCTGAGAGCCCTGATTGTCGATGTCATCTTCCATCACGGTAGTGGTGACGGTGAACCTGTTGGCACTTGCAACGGCTACCAAGCACAAGAGAACGGCTGCAACAACGGACAGTTTCGCCATGGTAACAGTGAGATGTCGATCGATTTGTGATAGAGAAGGTGAATTGCTAGTGCTTGTGATGATGAAATACGTGTTGCATGGAAAGGGTATTTATAGCATAGTCGATGGTTTGCATGGAAAGTACGTGTTGAATGTCACTGCTAAGGCAGATAGATACATTTTGCATGAGAGGAAGACGTGGGCAGCACCAACCATACGCTTCGCCACGTTTATAATTACATGCAAATGCTACCGGAAAGAGCACTTTGTTTGAACACAGAAAGCTAATGCTCATTTTGATTCTTTTGCAGTCTGTACAGCCATCTTTGGCTTCTTCTGTGAGGAGAGTGACTACTGAATGACTTAGTTTGTTTGGTACATTTGTTTAATCAAAAATTAGATTTTAGGTCAAAGTTTGAATTTAGAAGAACTCGGGTTACTGATAATCGGAAAAGTATATAAGAAAGAGATTTTGAATAATATAATCAGAAAGCAAATAAAACAAAGTATATTCCAGTCGTGTTTTTCGTGTCCTTACAGTTGTTTGTGACTTTTCCTTTTCTAGCTGTTTTGGGAATACAGACTTTCCCTTTGTTATAATAAGACAATTATGGGTAATTTAATGACCTTAAATGTTACGTTATACAATCATATACATTAAATACATATTCTCTAACGTTTCTAGTATTTAATACTCATTAAATGTTGTATCTGGGCTCTTTTTTGCTGTCAGATTCATTCCTTTGTCTCTTCTCGATCTTTGACCTTTGAATGTCTTGAATAGGTACGAATGTTGAATTATTTGTATGACTGCTCGTGCCTTCTTCATTTAACTTGCTCGTATCTATTCTTGCTCGTGTCTGTTAACCAACCTTAATTCTTCGACTGCTTGATCAGTCTACGTGCCATGACACGTCACCATATATATAAATACAATTTTTTCCAATACAACATCATCCATCAGTAAGTAATTGTCACATGTAGGATAGTATACACAAATTATACTGCTAATGATATTCTATTTCAAATTGCCAAATTAGATGATTTATAAATTATAAATGATCTCTATCCCAATAGCATTATTAAATCTCATCCCTTATTAAATCAAATGACGAGATTCTTTATCTAAAACAAAAAAAGAGGGGGGGGGGGG